AACACATATTAATCGTATCATTGAGATCTGTGTGGTTGCTGTGTAAGATTTTGTTGTACTTCTTTCAATGAACTGTCTTTTTATCCTGTTTGCTGACAGTGGAAAATATGTCTGCAGTTCATTCATATAATGAATGGGGTGGGAAATCAATTCTATAGGGACTGAGATTGTTTGGTTTGCTATGAGACATACTCAACATTTATGATATTTTCCCTTTTGTGCTATTGCAGTACACTGTTAAAAGATTGTGCCATAAATCTGGAAGCATGTTTTGCAAAGTTCATATCTGCATTTTGTACCTTTAATATTAATAGGAGTGCATCTTTAAAGTGAGTAAATTGAGAAAATGGCTGAAACTATAGTTTATAAAAGAAGATTAGTGGGTTTAATATGCACTGGAGAGTAAAAGAAAAATCTTATTGCTGTATGGAGAAATTACCTCATAAAGCAGCTAATACAGCAGGCTAGGGAGTAATTTTTAACAAGGTTTTTATGATGCACAAGTGTAGGCAAGTTAATGAACTTATCTTTCTAGTTATTTTCAGATTGTAACGATGCTTTTCTTTTCTAGTTCTTGTGCTTTAAAAAGTAAAATACATTTAATCACTTACAATAAAACTAATTCATTACTTTAATAAATCAAGTACAATCGTATACTGTACACTTAAATGCTATTACAATAATGCTGGAAACCAGATCAGGTGCTAACATTTAGCATGGGTTAGAGCCAAAGGTAACCATGGAACTTATTTATTATTTAAATGAAACTGTCTCATTTTGACAGTGCACTGTCACTCTGGGAAAATGTGATTCCCTTTCCAGTTACTGGATGCCGGAAGTGAATATGAAAGAATAAAAAAAAAAAAACACTTTAAAAGGCAATCATATATATTTTTGCATCATGACCAGGCAGTCCTTGAAACTTGCACAAAATTCTGAAGACTTATACATTGTAAAGAAAAATAGTATGTTAAATCTAGTAAACTCAGGAGGCTCATGTGCCCAGCAATTTTCTTTGACCAGGAAGAGTACATCAGCATTCTTCATGCACAGATAAAAGACAAATGACTAAATCCTCATATTGATCATTGTGATGCTTTTTACACTAAAATGTGATGAATTTGCTAAAATAAGGTAAAGGCAAATGCATAAAGAAATGATGTGAAAAAATAAGCTCCTGATATTATCTAACTTAAATAAAATGTATTATCACAAGTTCACTTCTTTTCACCGTGAATTATGATAATACACACATTCAAGACTAGTTTTACTCAAAATTGACGAACCAAGGAAAGTAATTTGAGTTGGAATACATAGTGTAAAATTCTATATGTGTCACCTTAGAACCAGTACTAGAGTTTGATAAACTTGTGAGATAGGTGCTTGCTCGATTCGGTTGCTTTTGCCAACCTGATGACATAGACTTTTCAGAAGTATTTTAGGGACCTTTTGATCTGTAATCAAACCCTGGTGCCAGGCCTCACTATTCTAGTATCTGTGCTATCTCTCAGCTGAATACTTCTTACCTTGCATATTCTCCTTCTGTTTTTAAGTCAGTACTGTTCAATCAAGTAAAGTTTCAGTAATTCATGCCCAAATGCTCACCAACTGATAGACTGACTGTAATTGACAATTAAATACCTATTTCTTCATGCATTCTATTTTCATCTTGTTTTCATTTTTAAGATTAAGATTATTGATACATTTTAGAAATATGTAATGACCACATTTATCACAGGATATTTGTATCTGTACATAATATAACTTAATTCTTTTTTCTCCTTTACCCTCCCTTCAATTGCTTTTCCTTTTATTTACAAAAGCTCCCTTTACATTTTTTCTTTTCTCAGTGTTTTCCTTTTCCCCTCTTCCCTCCTTAGTTTCCCTTTTCACTGAGCATTTTCTCCCTATTTCACAATATCTATTATGCATTTTTGTCCCTATTTACACTTTCAGCTTCCCACACAAGAGAAACAATGAGATATTTACACACATGTGCCTAATTTATTTCACTGAAGAATGTGGTCTCAAGGAGCATTCATTTACCTAGAAATGTCTCAGATTTATCCCTCGTTATGGCTGAATAGTACTCCATTATACAAAAACACCATATCTTCTTTATCCAGGCATTAGTATCTTATGCTCATTTGAGCTGTTTCCAAAATTCATTACAAACTATGCTGCTATACACATGGGTATACATGTATTACTATGGTATGATACTTTTAATTCCTTCAGGAAGATACCAAGAGGGAAAATAATTGGGTTGAATACAAACTCTAGTTTTAGGTTTTTTTTGAGGACTCTCCACATTGATTTTTCACAGTGATTGTATGTGTCCACACCACCATAAATTATGGAGAAGAGTTATTTTTCTCCGCAATCCAACCAGTGTTTGTTATTGATTGAATTCTTGATAATACCCAAGTGAGATAGAATGACTGAAATGAAATCTCAGCATTGTTTTAACCTGTATCCCTTGAATGACCAATGATGTTCAACATTTTTATATATTTATTTATCATTTCTAATCCTTTATCTGAGAAATGTGTATTGATTATAGATGCCCATGTTTGATTGGTTTTTTTTTTTTTTTAATTTGGGGGCTCTGATTTTTTTGAGTTCTTTACATTACATATTCTGGATATCAGTCCTTCGACAAACAGCTAGCAAAATTTTTCCCACTCTGTAGATTATCTTTTCATTCTGCTATTTCTTTTTCTGTGTAAAAGCCTTTTAATAAAAAGAGATGCCAGTTGTTCATTCTTTGTAATATTTCCTGTGCACTCTTATGGGTACTGATTTTAGTAAATTTAGGCATTGGAGGAGGTTAGTGAAGAATGTGCCATATTTTCATCAGTGTTATTTAAAGTGACTTTAAGTTATTTCACAGAACTTGAAGACTACCCTGAATACCTTTGAATTTCTGGAAATTAAAGTTAGAAAATTATAAAATATATTCATGTTTTAGAAAGCTGTTTTTACTACACTGAGTAATTTATATTACTTTATATAACAGAACATATAGTGTTTATATATGTTTCATGTGTTTAAATCTGACATGAACATAGGCAGAACAATAATGAACATACTGGAAATTATTTTCTGAATCACAGAAATTAAGACTCTTACATAATATTCAAATACTGGCAATTCAACCAAACCAATCTTCTACTGTAATAAACTGGTACAATTGTAAAATTTCTTGATTCCAAATTGTTTTTGTTGTAATGAAGTAAAAACTAAACCTACTTTGATATGTTTTTCCATCTTGAGGAGTGTTACTCCTAAAGTACTTCTTGGTTGCTGGAAAGAATTGAATAGATCATATCTATGTTTTCTGACAGTCAGTCACAGGTCAGGAAAGTGTTACAGTCAGCTAGGAGGCAATGTGCAAGGATCCATCTTGCTCTGGAGACTTGACTGGTTTGTTGGATGGAGTCCAATGGTCAGCATTGAACTGAGCTCTTCCTATGCAATGCCTGTCTTTATGAACTAAATTATTCACTTGCTTTCTTTGGTCAAAGAAAATTTTCTCACAAAATCTTCATGAGCACTCTTATTGTCAATAGTCTTATATTCAATGGCATTATTGCTCTGGAATGGTGTTTCCTGGTGTTTTTTTTTTATTTGTTTTACTAAGCTGACACAGAAAAATCTCCTAAAAGAGGTACTATGCATGACTGGGATGATGGGAAGAAAGCAGAGCAAACACTGAAGAAGGTATGTCCTCCACACTGAGTATCAGTTCAGTGAGAGTAAAGTTTGGTAGCAAGAGTTAGGTCAGGATAAGACTTGAGCAGAGTGGAGAAGGGCAGCAGGAAGTGAGATTTGACATCGACATGCCACAGCCAGTCCAAAGTCTTCCCAAATCAGATAGATCACTATTTGGTGGATTGACAAATGCCTGGTACAATAGAGGTAATAATTCAGTAAAAGAAGTAATTCTTATCTAAAACACAAAATTTCACTGTTGTTTTGTGATATAAAAGCTAATCCTCTAATCTGAGATGTTTGGTTGTCAGAATTTCTTCTACTATTCCCTTCCCTTCCCTTCCCTTCCCTTCCCTTCCCTTCCCTTCCCTCCCCTCCCCTCCCCTCCCCTCCCCTCCCCTCCCCTCTTTCCTTTGTATTACAAGCAGCCCCATAATTATACCTACGGTAAACCCTAAAAATAGAATTGTTGCATCAAAATGTACTAAAGTGTGCAAGGCTTAAAAAATCTGCTGTCATCGTCCTTCACAAAAGACCTACTATCTTGCTCTTTCTCTACTCCCTTACTTAACATAGGTATTATCATTTATTTTTTGTAACTTTATAAGTAAAAACTTTGTATCAAGATTACTAGTCATTAAAACTCAATATCTCCAAGAAACTGACCCAGAACTTTGTATGGTTTGTTCTAAGAGGCACAATGATGTTTTAAGAAATGATTTTATTTATACTCTTTCTGAATTACTTCTTAATACCAAAACTGTTTAGCAAAGCATCTTATTACTTAATTTGAGAAAATACTCAATGTAGTAATTTTAATGTATTGATTCCCTTATAATTAAAAATCTCCTAATCTTTGGTTTATTCTTGTCTTACAATTAATTAATTGCTTTCAGAAATGTGTGTGTGTGAGTGTGTGTGTGTGTGTGTGTGTGTGTGTGTGTGTGTGTGGACAGCCGTCCTTTTCTAAGACAATTGAGTCATCAGATGCCTCCAGACTTTGTTATCTTTACTTTTCTTCATTACACTCAATGGAAAATTTAAGAAATTACCACAATTGCATGTGGATGCCATGAATAGGATTAGCTGATGCTATCACTATTGACTGTCCATAAAGATAGTGAATAGCTCATCATCATTCGTGGATACATTATATGCATGCATATATATATATATATATATATATATATATATATATATATTTGCTGACAGTAAGAGTAAGAGAACAAAATAGTAAAGTAAATTAATAAGAAACATTAACAAATTTTTGTTGTGTATATGAAAGATTGAAAGTGAAGCTGTTTTCATTAAAAAATACACATAATTACATTATTTGTGACATTATAAAAAAAACAATGCAAAACTCAGTGTCTCCCACTATTTGGAAATGTGATTCAATCAAGATTCATGGTTTTATTCTCCAGTCCCATTTAACAAATGTATCCTCATGTTCTATGCTTTTCCAGCTCTGAAACCCTTCTTGAGTCCCCTTCTGTCCAGCAATTTTATTAGGAGTCTCCTGAACATAAAGGCTCCCAGACATGTGTTTATGTTACCTATCTTTTTTTCTTTCTTTTTGGTTAATGTTTTCCACATGCCACTGGCCCATTTTATGAAATAGTTTCCTTTTTCTGTTCTTCTTGCCTCCATGTCCTACTGTTCTGAATATAGCCATTCTCTTTCATGGTATCTGCCACTGAGAGTGTTTAATGTATATGTTTTTCATTCAAAAATTTATTTCTCAGATAAATAATGGCACTTGCAATATAGTCTAGGATCACAGAGCAATAATCCTCCCTACACCATATGTTATAAATATTTTAACTTTAAAAATAGGGTTTAAAAACAGGGATTCAATTGACAGAGAAACAGCCTATTTGAAATCTGTTACTCATACAGACATCAAGCAACATTACACATTTTCACTTGCTATTAGCTGTTTGTTATTTGGAAAACCTTTTACATGGATAATCAACCATGTGAGAATTACAAGGTACTTTACAAATTCATTTATTAAAGCAGATTTTCACAGAGTGTCTCCAGAAAGAAGGCAAATGGAAGGAGGAGGTATTCATACACAAAAACGGAGACCCTGAGCCCTCCAGTGTAATGCAGACAAAAGCACACCTTCATCTGACAAATGAATGAATTATCCTAATCTGAATGCAATCTCAATTCATTATTTGGCCCACAATATAACCACAACCCTCTTAAGAAGTGTAAGGACTAAATATTTTCCCTGTATCCTGTCCTGAAATGAGAGGATTTTTTGTTTGGTTTTGTTTTGTTTTTGTTATTAGGACTGAGAATCCTTCAGCCAGAGCTGTCAAATTCTGTGGTTACTGACTGAAGCAGTTTCCCAAGCAGCTTTCAAAACTGCTGCGAAATCTGTCAGTGAAGACACAGCTGTGGTGATTCTATACTCTGCACTGCTCACATGAGTGTGTGTCTTTTTTCTGGGCTGGGCTTCAATCCCCAAGGAATACCCGCTCTCTTTCTACTCCCTAGGGACCACAGTGTGATACAGAAAGCATTCTGCTGGAGGAATCAGACAGGGTCCAGGGATAGGTTGGACACAGCCTGAAATAAAGGCAACTCAGTTTTTTTTTTTTTTTTTTTTTTTTTTTTTTTTTTAATGACAGCTAAGTAGACAATAATCTTTATATTGCCTTACTTGTAGGTTGTTGTGGGTAGAAAGTTTCTGAAGTTTATGAGTTTTTCAAGTTTTTGCTTTTTTTTCTTTTTTTCTTTGTTTCTTTCTTTCTTTCTTTCCTTTTCTGGTACTGGAAATTGAATTCAGGACCTCACATTTGCCAAGCAGGTGCTTATGCAGCTGAGCTTGGTCCTGGACCCACTATTTTGACTTTTAAACAATAAACTTTTCAAAACTTTTCAAAATAAAAAGCCACCCCACTTTAAGAAAATTATGCTTACAATACCAAGATATTCTATAAAACATCTGTTGCCAAACTGAAACAGCAAAATAATTCACGGTAGAAAGGTAAAGGTAATATTGTTCCAAATATTCAGAGTAGAATCCCAATGTGAGTTTATTTTGAAAGGTTTGAGAAATAAATATGTCTAAACGTGTGCTATTTGCATCCTAATGACACTATCAAAGCAATTCAAAAGAATCACGTTTGCCTGGGACACCTACAGCTGTGGAATCTGCCCTCTCCAGGGTTACTTAGCAAACCTCTGTGACAATGAAACTTATGGATTTGGGAAGCCAGGGAAGTTCTTTTTTTGGAAGGGGGATGTTGAGCCTTTCACCAAGCAAAGTTACAAGATCCTCATACCTTTAAAATTTAGGAGCTACTTTGATTTTGGTAGAGAGGGATTAGAAACTATCTCTACTAAAATCGTTCATTCCAGTACTATAGTGACCTTCATTAGTTGATGCCTGGCTATTTCCCGGCCATCATAGTCATATTTTTCAGTTGTTCATTTGATAGATTATTTTCTTGACTTGTGTTCTTCAGGCTCTTGATGTTTCTCAAATCGTACTACCATTCCATCTGGAAATGGCATCTTCTGATTTGGCAAAGTGTAGACAGTTGAAAGCAGATATTTATTTATCTGTATTTCCTAACAGAAATTACAGGAAAATGGTTGCTCCTGAAAAGTGTGGATGAAGGGAGAAAGTAACTGCCAACTTTTCCAGGCAAATGATAAACTTATTTAAATTGGTTGCGTTTCTAAAACTGTTAAATTTAAGCAACTAGATCATGAGACTATTAGCAATATGGGGGAAGAGATTTGAGTCTTCTGAAGTGATCAGTAATTTTCTTCCTGCCCTCTTAAAGACAGTAAACCAATATATAAATATATCTGGTTTACGAAAAAAAAATAGATTTTTCAATTTGCTCATGCATTTTAGTCTCATTTCTTGACACATGGCAGTCTCTTTACGTTGTCACTTCTTACTTGTCTGAAATCTTTCCCTTTCTGAGACTGGGATGACCATGGTTTCCAATAACACAGGAATAAGGAAAGGACATTTCCATCTATGGAGCCCGTATGCTTCTTCCAATTGGAAAGCAAACAGAAAGGTTGCTAATATATTTTCCTGGGATGCAAGGAGTAGACTAGTTTGTAAATGAAAAAAGTAATGAATATAATCTCATAAATTAGGCAGCTAAATATATTATATTGCTTAAACATTGCCTTCAATTTTAGGTAAGTACAGAGGATACCTTTATTTCTCAAAATCAGAACTTCCAGCATCTAAATTGAAATTTGCTATGGTATCTGAAACAATCATGTGTTTCTGTTTCCTGCAATTCTCTATTTACCATGTTCAAAATATCTGTAAATATGATATTTACAAATGTGAGTCTGATTCATTTCACTTACGAGGATGATCTTAAGTTGTCATCATTTACCTATAAAAGCCTCAAGATCATCCTTTTTTATAGCTGAGTAATATTTGATTGCATAAAAATACCATATCTTTTTCATTCATTCTGTGGTTGATGGGCATTTTGGTTATTTCCAAGATTTAAATAATTAACAATAATAATAATAAAGTGAAAGAGTAATATGATTTAAAATGTATAATACATATTGTAATAATGAAAGGGATAGAAAGTACTCAGAAAGAACAACTTGCAGATATACACATATAACTATATGCATGTTTAAGTGTACAAGACAGATAACCATACTACTAAGTTTTTGTTAGCACATGAAACAGGATAGTTTTTGCTGTCATTTTTTTTTTTTTTTTTTGGTCTTTTTCCTTTTTATCGGTACCAGGGATCGAACTCACTACTGCCTGCTTGCAAGGCAGGCGCTTATGCCGCTGAGCTAAATCCCCAGCCCCTGGTGTCATTGTTTGATTGTTGACTTTTTATGCTTTGATTGTGTAACTTGAACAACTACTTCTAAGATAACAATATGTAATATAGCAATTACTGATGATTTATTAATATTATTTTTTGAAATGCTGTATCAGTTCTATCCTTTTTTCTGTTTTGCTTTTTTAATTAAAAATAAAATAAAAATGATAAAAAAATTTCTGATTACTGTTAGATTCCCTTTGTACAATGAGATAATCATCAAAGATCTTTAAAGTCTGCTTTGTTTCTTTTTACAAATTATTTTATTAACAAGTAATACATGTACATGGTTCAGAACTCAAGGACACTGCAAGAAATACTGTGTACAATAGCTTCTTTTTCTTTTCTTTTTTTCTTGACATTTGGTTCACCCTGTAGAGGTAAAGACTGCTACCAATTTTTATTGCATCTTTTCTTGCATATGCTGTGCATACTAAATTCCCTATGGAGATCCCTTTAATTCTTTTTTTTTATTTCTTCACATTATTAATATATTTTGCAGTACATAATGATTACATTATTGTGGAGAGTTGGTACACATACATAATACATCTTAATGCACTCTTCTTTTTAATCACCTAACCATGTTCCCTCCATGCTTCTTCCAACTCGCTCCTCTTCCCATTTCAGAAGCTCTATTTTAATTTTTCTTGCATTCTTTTTTTCTTATCCCTTTCGTCATCTCTTCCCTTATCTTTGACTTTGGTTTCCACTATCCATTTGAAAAAGATCACCTTGCTTCCTGTTTATCGATCTTTCAGTTTGCTCTCACTCCTTACCTCTTTTCCTCTTTTCCTCTCTTTCCCCTTTCTTTTTCTCTCTATGTCTCTCTCTCTCTCTGTGTCTCTTAATTTGCCTGTCTCTCTATGTCTACCTGTATGTGCATATACTTATATGCGTATATATATGTATATAGAGTGAGTTTCTCATATAAAAGAAATCATGCTGTGTTTGTTTCATTTTGTCTATCTCATTCCATTTAATAGTATCTTCTTAAGTTGTATTCATGATTGCATGAAGTTTACAGCAGAGAAGTACTCCACTGTGTGTAGGTACCATATTTTTCTTTTATCCATTCATCTATTAATGGGCATATAGTCCATTTTCAAGCTATTAAAATTTGTGCTGTTTTCGACAGTGATATGCATGTATCTCTGAAATTCTCTGACTTGAACTCTTTTGGAAAGATATAGCAGGCGTTTAAAAGGGGAATATCTGGGTAAAACTGAATTTCAATTTTAAATTTTTTCCTCATGCTGATTTCCACAGTGTTTGTACTAGTTTCCATTACAATCAACAATGTAGAAGAGTTTCTTACGCCTTGATAATCACCTTTATTCTTCACTGTGATCAACCTCTCCAAACTGTTTTACTCACTTTAAATACCAGTTAAGTGCTATAACTTCCTCAATTGAATAATCACTTGATGATGTACTGTGGTGAAAAACTGTTGCCCCATCATAAGTAGAGGTTAAAAAAAAAAAAACTATCATAGACCACTCTGGGAGGGGAAATGTTATGAAATCTCTCAGCATCCATCATGAAGACTATAGAGAACATATCTGCAAGAAAAGACAGACTAATAAAAGACAAACTTGTTTGATGAAAGTTTTATATAACTTAAGACCCTTCAGAAATGAACACCCCAAAGGCTGTGGAATATTGTCTATTTGTATGTTCAGGTTTGATGAAGAACGGACAACCCTGTGGAAATATAATTGGAGAAAAGTGGTCAACATGGTGGTAGAAGACTACGAAGAGAAAAACCATAAGATCTCTCCATCCAGATCCTTCCTGTCCTTTCTGAGTAGCATTCCCTCCTTGCAAGTGTGCAACAGGGTCTTTCCGGATTTAAAATTTCCAGGATGAAGCAAGCAGAAAGCTAGCAACCTTATTATGAACCTTGTCTGTGAGAAAGAAGGGTCCTATTACCTATGTCTGCCTTGAGGCGGAGGAGCTCTGTTTCTATGCTTGCTTCTGGGGATCAAAGTGGGAGACAGGCAAGAGGTGAGAGAAAACTTCTCCTGAGGCTTTTCAGTCTCCTTAACATTGAAGTACACAGCATGGCAAAATATCATGCTTCCGAGTAACATTTTCTGAGCCCTGATAACAGAAATGTCATGTGATTATGGTAGAGAAACTGAACCAAAAAGAAATATATTAAAATGTAACAACTTATTTCAGCAACTGCAGTTTTTTTCCCCCAATATATTAATGCAGTAGTTTAAGGATTGCAGTTGATATCTTCATAGTAGTTCAGAAGCTAGAACATGAGGAAACTTTTTTGGATGAACAGTATGAATTGAATCTTGATCATTCAATACTCTTAATTTGTTACAAATGTCTACACTGCTACTTATTGAAGCTGAAGAAAACTTGAAGAGTTCCTAAGCATCACTTGCTTTTAGCTACTTTCTTTTACCACCAATTTCAGAGGCTATGCTGTCAGAAGTATGGCCCTATTAGTTTTGTTATTGGTAACACTTCTGACCTGTGGGCAAATTGCAACAGGTGACAATTTTTTTTCATGGGAGATAACTCAAACTGGTTGAAACCACTGATCATTCTCTTGGAATTGCTAGGTGTCAAATGGGTGAACTTTTGGTGTCCGAAGATCAAAATTTAATCCATGAAATGCACTAATACTACAATTTTCTGTACATATATCCTTTGAAGAGCCATAAAATTTGATTATGCATATGTAGAACACTGATTAGTTCAATTTTCCTTACTCCTATCTTCCTGGCACCTTAGACCACTCCTACTCTTTAATCCTAAAAATATGCCTAAACTCTTTCCTCAGGGAAGAAGATTTTAGGGAGCTCTCCAGTGCACATGATCGCCACAGCATGAGTGATCTCTTTTACAAAATTATGGTTTCAGAAATCATCATGCTATATAGTAGGTGAAATAGACTTGGCTCAATAATAATAATAATAATAATAATAATAATAATAATATAGTTTTACTTGAAAAAGATTCTAAATCAGTTTTAATTATTCTATCATTTCTTTTCATACTGCCTTAGTGCAATTTTTTACTCCCAGAGTGGAAGTCAAATGTACATGACTTTGAAGTTAAATACATGAGATATGATAGAAAAATACTGTGAAAGTTTAAATATAAACATTGAACTTATTACAATAAAAAACACATTATCATGAGCACATTTTTCAACTTTCTGAAGCAGTTTGGGAAATCCTACTTTGTGTCTTTAGCTGTGGTATGGCAGCTCTCTCAATGTCCTCAACTGATTCAAAACATTTAATTTTTGGTCATTTTGACACTGGGAAAGAATCAGAAGTTTCTCAGAACCAGATAAGGTAAATAAGATGGATGAGAAAACACTGTAATTCCTTTTATTTGATAGAAATTAACCTAAACAAAACTATAACCTGCTTCAGAAAGTGGTGAGAACCCTGAGACAAGTGTCCTTGAAGTGAAGAGTTGTATTTTAGAGGAAGATTGATACAATGTTTACTTCATTACAATGCATTTTTTATTAAAACATTCACCTCACATTATGATCATGCCTTGTAGGGTTCAGTTTCATTTGTTCGTTTTGTTAGCAATCTTAACAAAGAATGTAGTAGGAAGATGAAGAAAAATTACCACAAATGAATTGAAAGGATGTTATGTGCATTCCTATTGGCTGTACTGTTACAAGAAGAGAGACCAGAACTAGTGATGCACTTGTGCCATCCCAGCTGGTCAAGGGGCTGTTGAAGGAAAATTGCAAATTTGATGTTATCATGGGCAGTTCAGTGATATTGTCTCAAAATAAAAATTAAAGAGGGGGGGAAGATATAGCTCAGTAGCAAGCAGAGCATTTGCTTAGCATATGCATGGCCTTGATTCAAACCTCAGTACTACAAAATAGGGAGGTAGAAAGGGGATTCTTAAACATTATAAAGTATTATTCTCCCTTTGTTTCCTTGAAATTCAAGGCAGCACTGTAATCAGTGATACAACTTTCTGCCTCAGAGCATGTCTATGTAGAGATTAGGTACCTTGCAGAAGGCACTTACACAGAAAGAACAAATGCATAAGAGGATTATGCATAAAAACAATAGCTGCATAAACCAGACTATTGCCTTGAAAAAGGATTTCCCCAAATTGCACGTTCTCCTTCTTTAGTATAACAAAAATTCAACATTAATTTTCTGAAATTTTTGATGCAGAAAAGTTTCTTTTTCTCTGCTCCAGGCAGAGAAAACTGGCTTGTTGCTGCTAGGTAAACAGCCCATGGTTTAGGGTAGTGTAAAAAAATCTTCTATGTACCTTTGAAGAAACAAAGAAGAAAAAGATGATCAGGCAGTCATAAATCCGAGCTTTGGCCTGGAGGAGAAAAGCATAATAAATAAAGTAGGATAGGACCGATAGAGAAGATACTTTGGAAGACACTTTTAAAGAAATCTCAAGATATTTAAACTTATTCAAAGAAAACACTACTGCTATATTTTGTTTATGTCACCAAGAATTTATATTAATTAAAATGTTTTTGCTGATTGTAATATCTAGTATCATTATATGGTAGATATTCAAATTTGCTTAAACAATATTTTAAAAAACGATATTTAGATAATTTCTCTGCTAAAAGTACAACTTTCCTACATAGCTGATACTTTTCATTAAGTCACAAGAGAAAAAAAAAGCTATGATGCATTTGTTTTGTTATGTTGTTTTGGCAATATTTGCTTTTGGAATGAAAAATCTATAGCATAAAGGATATTTATAGATCATCTCTAAAACAAAGAAATCGTAAGTTTACAAATAAATATTCTGGAGGCAGTTTAAATAATTATCCAATAGAGTAAGTAAATATTTTTCTTATTAAATATAATAAGTATTTGAAGAAAAAGTGAACTGTGTGGCAGTTATTACTATTCTCAACTGAAGCCAACTGAAACTCAGGCTTACATCTGTTTGTCCAAGGCTGGAGCAGTATAGCTATGAGAAATTTCATGGCACCCAGTGAGTGATGCACAGGTGTTGTATGAGTCTTTAATGACAGCTGTTTTCCCAAAGGATAGGAAAAGAAGAGACCAAGCAAGATTTTAAAGCAACTCAGTGTTCCATGTACTTTAAACATAATATAGAATGCACAAAACTATGATTGAGTAGGTTTCCAAGGTGTTCACTTAATTGTAAAGTACAACAGGAATCTGGGAACTACGAGTGCGCTTTGTCCGTATGTTTATTTTGATTCCTTTCTGCCCCCTACTCTGTTAATTCCTCTGCCTCATTCTGATGCAACAGGAGACAGTTGGCAAGTGACACAGGGGACTGTACTGCAAAGTGAAGCAAGATTAGAGTGGAATGAAGTGTTAAAGGTTTCTTTTTAAAATACATCGGACATTCACACCCAAGTTTCCAAATCATTGATCAGTGTATTCAGTACTTCCGTCAAGAAAGTGAAGAAATATATTAATGGGTGTCAGAAAACACATTACTAGGATCCACTCCCGAGCCAATGGTCCTGTGAAATGGCAAAATTCAACTGTGAAAGACACATCTAGGAGACCTGTGGTGTCTGTTTCTGAACAGTTTTTGCAGGAAACTTACATAAATTATTTGGTCTTCATCATTGACTCCTTAATTCATAATACATAGAGTTTGTAATTTTATTTGTGATAGGTCTACAGATAATACTGAAATAAAAGAAAAATAGGAGAGTGTTCAGAACTGAGGATTGAAACTAGAGCCTTGAGATTACACACATTCCATTTATTTCATTTTATGTTTTAAATTTAAGTCAGGATTCCTGCTAAGTTTCTAATTTTCCCAGACTGGGTTCAAATTTGTGATTCTTGCACTTAAGCTACTCAGATTGCTGAGATTACAGGAGTATGTCACCATATCTGACCGAAAATTAGAGATAGCTTTTCTTTCAAATTCAAATTTTTGTTGTTGTTGTTGTTCAGGGGATTGAATTCACGATCTTGTGTTTGCCAGGCAGGCACCTATACCTCTGAGCTAAATCCCCAGTCCCCAGAGATTTTTTAATAGCTGCAAATAAGAAATGACATTGGAATGAGTAGAATATATTTAAAACAAGAGATGTAATCTAAGAATAGCACCAAAATGGCAGAGTGGTAAGCAGCAGAGAAAGAGCCTCTCTGAAAGCTGCCATACAGATGCTGGAGTAAAGCATTGTGAGGAAGACAGGAAGGAGGAAAGCAGGTCCCCTGGGCCCAGGAAGGACTTGAGGTGAATATTGAAGCCCATATAGACAGTGAAAAGATAAACTTCAATGAGGAAGAAGGAGGTAGCTCGCAGAGCCTTCTCCCTGAACCAAGATTCATTGTAAGAGAGGAGCAATTCAAAATCTTCAGACACAAGGTAACTGCTGGTGGCCCCAGAGACTTGTAAAGAAAGATGCAGCAGTGGAGGGAAGCAGTATTCGTGAATGAATACACTAGCTAAGGGTGAGTGTTGAGGTCTCAGCAATTCCACATGAGAAATTGATTGGCCAGGAGCCATCTTGGAAAGGGCCCAGGTGAGCTTAGAACTCAGAGCAACTGCTGGCTCCATCTAGCAGCTCCCAGCTTGGCTCAGATCCAGCACAGAAGATGTGCTGACTCTTTTAGGCTAAATGAATCTGCTCTCAGCCCACACAACCAGAATACAGACTGAACTTCAGAGAAAATAAAGGTACAGTCTTGCTGAGATTACCCACTACTCCACCTTAACGCTACTGTTGGTTTGCTGGGATAAATAAACACAGATCGGGACTCTGTCTCTACATGTTGTCTACCAGTGACATCAGAGACAACCTGGAGTTGGACATTTTTCTCTCATTTTGTTATTGTGGTGGTTTTGCTTTCATATTTTGTTCTTATTTTTGTTCTTTATTATTTGGCCTTGTTTTTATCAGTGTGAATATAGTATCTAGCCTCTGTATGATTGTTGGTCTATTCTTCCTTCTATTTCTTCCTTCTGTCTTTTCCTCCAGTCTTCCACAGCAGTTACCCAATATTAGCATGATAGCCTTTGTCCTCCAGTCTTACTTCTAATCTCTTTCTCTTCTTCTATTTCTATATCTTTTTTCTAATCCCTTTTAAATTTTAACTAGTGAGGGCAAAATTGACATATTAAGGACATATATATATATATATTGCATATAATTTTTTGGTTTGATTTACATTTTATTATATAATCGTGAATCTAGTTAAAATGGTTAAATTAATTGTTACCTCAATTTGGCAAATTCTAGGATGTGTTTGACGCCGTTATTGCTGATAGCACCACTGGAGCCAAAAGTGATATAATTGTTCTAACCAGCTGTTTTTTTCTGGTATTCTAAAACTTAAATTGACTAAGGGTCATAGAAAATACTATGGGACAGTGCCAAAGAACCAGGAACTAGACCAAGAAGGCAGCAATTGTTCATCCCCAATAAATTGAAGACATAAGAGCTTGTAAAAGATGCAAAACCCAGAATCCAGCTACACATGGAAGACATCTTGGAGAAGTAATAATTTCTTTGGAGTTCTAAATACTAGCAATAAACAACTCATCATAGGCAATTTACAAACATCAACCCAGGAATTAAATTCAAAAAAAAAAAAAAAAAAAGAGAAAGAAACAAAGAAAAGAGGAAGGAAGAAAGAAAAAGACAAGACAAGAAAATAAAAGAAACTGATAAAACACATAAAAAGATGCAAAATAAGACCTTAAGTTCCCCCCAAAAAAGCTAGAACAGAACCAAACTTTTGAACAAACGGACTAAGTAGATATCTACAAGAGTGTTTCACGCTACAACATCAGAATACACATTCTTTTCAGCTGCACATGGGACATTTTCTAAAATAGACTACATGCTGGCTCATAGAACATGATTAATTAAATGCAAAGACATTGAGATTATTCTATGCACATTATCATATCATAGCACAATGAAATTGGAAATCAATGGCAAAAGAAACAAGAGCTTTGTAAATACATGGAAATTAAGTTATACACTTGTGAAAACCCAATTGGCTACCGATAAACTTAAAGAAGAAATTATACAGTTTCTATAATAAATGATAATGGCAATAAAACATACCAGAACTTACGATACAAAATGAAAGCAGTCCTATGAGGGAAATTTGTAGCCATGAGTATCTATATCAGGAAAAGAGAGAAATAAACAATGTTGAATATCAAACTTCTATAAAAAGAAGAGAAGACCAAGCCCAAAGCTCATATAAGGGAGGAAATTATAAAGATTAGAGAAGACATTAATGCATTGGAGACAAAGAAAACAATTCACAGAATCAATGAATCAAAGAGCTGGTTCTTGAAAGAGTAAAATTGGAAGGGTATGGAGACCCTGAAAGAGTGGTGCTCGAACAGCTTAGACTATTCTACACAGGAGATTTTGGTCAGAGCTCAGAAGGACAGAAGGCTGATAGAAAGCCTTCAAGTAAAGACTGGGCTCAGAAGGTTTCTGCTGGAAGGAGGACTGAATTGGTTGCTGGACTCCATACACCATGTGTGTTATGGCTTGGCAGAAAGTTTGTTTGAATTTTGCTCATGTTCAGACACTTTGCCTGAGACTGAGATTAAGGGCAGTGGACTGATTAATCTGGCAAAAGAAATTTCAAAGCAGTCTAATGTTGAAGTGGTGGCATGGCTATTTAGGGGGACTTTTAGCCAGATTTGTGTTGCAAATCAAGAGCAAAGAACCCAGTAGGGTGATTTAAAATGTTGTAAGTTTAGCCAGAAAGAAAGCTCCAATAAAGCTGTACCTTACATATAGATCTGAGACCTCATTTGCTAAGAAAGAACAGAGAAATAAAAAAGAGGCCTGAGGGCATCTCAGGAAGCAACAGATCTCCACCTCTTTACAACCTCAAAACTGCAAAGGTAAAAAGACTTTTCTCAGAGGGGAAAGCTGCAGAGTGCCATGTTCCAGAGTGGTGGTGGTGGCCACATGAAGTTCCAAAATGGCAGTAGCATAGAGTAGCTATGTCTCACAGTTTGATTGAGAATGCTCAGTGACCCATGCACTTGACTCCTACGGCCAAGAGAGAGGAAATCCTGGCTACTGCTCCATCTGGCAGCAGACTTTGGCAGCATTCACATTGCCCTAGTTTTAGGTGAATGGAGAATGCATGAGTTCTAGGGTTAAGACAACTTCCACCTGACTTCAGAAGGTCTGGGAGGCCAGTGTGCCCCTGAGAGGGCAATGTGTGAAGCTGTGAATGTGAAGCCAAAGATGCAGTGTAGACCCCAGAAGTTTGGAAAAGCCAGGAACATGGATCATCTAAGGAAAGCTGCAATACTGAGCAGAGGGGTTTAAGAGAGAAGCTGTGGGAGCTGAATCCCTGGACATGCCATGGTGGTGGCATCACTCAGGCCTTTTGGTGCTTGCAACCAGATTGTTTCAGGTGCTGAGCATAGGGCTCCAGGACTTAATGTTTGCCCTGCTGGATTTTGGACTTGCTTTAGTTTCAATGCTTTATATTCACATTTGTAACTTTTGGAATGAAAATGTTTATCTGGTGCCATTATATGTTGGAAGTGTTTAACTTTGGTTTCATTTGTACAAGGGCTTGCATCTACAAGTTTGCCTTAGATCTCAGAAGAGGCCTGGGACTTGAACTTTTCAGCAATGCTGAAACTATTAGGACTTTTGGCAATTCTTGAAAATAGATTAAATATCTTTTACATAAAAGATATATATGAGTCTTTGGGGTTCCAGGGATGAAATGTTATGATTTGTGTCTAGGTGGCTCCCCAAGCATCCTGTAATCATGGTTACTGCTGAGTCCAGATTTGTGATTGGTTTGTTGTCTAGTGCTGGGATTGATAGTGTGAGTTCTGTACCCGCCCAGGGGAGGAGCCAACATATGATGTAAAAGTAGAAAGAAGGCATGTTTTTTCCTCTTTGGCCCTGTTTGCTCTTGCTTTTTGCAGTGGCCTTGAATGGCTGCCCCTCAATCATACCATGAGCCAGCTGAGTATAAACTGAAACCTTTAAAACTGTAAGAAATAAACCTCTCTTTCCTTCAGGTTGGGCATTAGGTATTTTTTCCCAACAACAACAAAAAAGTAACCAAGACCATTGACAAAGTCTTAGCCAATCTTTAAAAAAAAAAAAGAGAGAGAGAGAGAAATACTCAAATTTATGCAGTTGGGAATAAAAAGGTAAAATCACAAACAGACATTGCAGAAAGTCAAAAGGTCATCAGTACCCAATTTCAGAATTTGAAATAATAGAAGAAATGGACAGAATCCTGGATACATACAGATTATCAAAGTTGAATCAAGAAGATATAAAAATCCCAAATAAGCCAATATCAATCAATTAAATCAAAGACATAATAAAAAGAAAAGCCCAGGCCTTGACAGATTCACAGATGAATTACACAAGAAATTTAGAGAAGACCTAATATCACTATTTTACAAACTGTAATGAAATAGAAAGGGAAGCAATATTTCAAAATTCATTCCTAGAAACAAGTACTACCCTGATACCAAAACTAGAGTAGGACCCAACTAAGAAAGAGAATTACAGGTTAGTCTCCCTAATAAACATAGATGCAAACATTCTCTAAGCCACTAGTCAACAGAATGCAGCAAATCATCAAGATCATACACCATGACCAAGTGGGATTGACCCCCATGGATAGAGGGATAGTTTGACATACATGAATCAATATTGGTAATACCCCATATTAACAGAGCAAGGACAAAAACCATATGATCATATCAATAGGTGCAGAAAAAGCCTTTGACAAAGTCTAGCACCCATTCATGATAAAAAATCCTACAGAAAATCAGAATGATGGTATCTACCTCAATCTGATAAAAACCATTTATTAAAAAAATAGCCAACATCATACTAATTGGACAAAAACCTGAAAGTGTTCTCTCTAACATCAGGAGAAAGATAAGGATGTTTACTGTCTGCACTCTTATTCAACATAGTCCTGGAGAGTTTAGCCAGAACAATTATAAGAGAAAGAAATAAAAGAATAGGGATAGGAAGGGAAGAAGCTATATTATCATTATATGTGGATGACACGACACTTTACAAAGAAGGCCCCCAAACTGCACTAAAAAGTGCTATACGTAATAAGCAAATTCAGTATTGTAGCTGGTTACAAAGTCAGCACTCAAAAATCAATAACCTTCCTATGTACAAATAAAAACCTCAGTGAGAGAGAAATTCGAAACAATAAATTTCACAGTATCCCTCCAAAAATGAAATGCCTAGGAATCAATCAATCTAATAAAAGACATAAAATACCTCTACATTGAAAATTACAGTTCTCTGAAAAAGAATATCAAAAAATGGGAAGATAGTCCTTGCTCTTGAATAAGAAATAATATAGTGAAAATGGCCATACTTCTAAAACTTTTATACAAATTTAATACCATTCTGATCAAAATTCTAACAGTAAATGTCACAGAAAGAGAGAAAACAGTTCTAAAATTCATCCAGAACCAGAAGAGAATAACAAATCCTGAGCAACAAAGACAAGATGGAGGACACCATCACCTCTGCTTGAAATTATAGTATAAAACTTTTGTGATAAAAGCAGTGTGGTGCTGGAAAAAAAAAATAGACCCGGAGATCAGTAGAATAGATTACAAGATACAGAAACCCAAACACACTAAACCCCCTTATCTTTGACAAAGTTGCCAAACACATTCACTGGAATAAAAAGACAACCTCTTTAATAAATGATGCTGGAAAATTGAAATTGGACACATTTCTTTCACCATGCACTTAACTAAATTTGAAATGGCTCAAAAGTCTAAATATTGAAGCAGAAACAATAAATCTGCTGAAAGATAAAATAGGTGAAATTCTTGAAGACATTGGGGTAGGCAAAGACTTTATGAATAAAACACTGATTACACGGGAACTAACACAAAGACTCAGCAAGTGGCATGTTATTAAAAAGATTTTGGAAAGCAAGAGAAACCATCAACAGAGTGAAAAGGCTGCTCACAATTGGGAAATAATGTTTGCTAGCTGTTCCTTAGACAAGAGGTTACTATCAAGGATATATAACAATTTTTTAAAAATCAGATCTCCCAAATTCAAAGACCCAATCCAAAAATGGGCACCACAGATGAATATACACTTTTGGGATGAAGAAATACAAACAGCAAATAAATCTATGAAAATGTTCAATATCTATGGTCACTCAAGAGATGCAAATTCAAACAAATCTAAGATTCCATTTCATCATGGGAAGAATGGCTGTTAGCCAGAAATTAACCAGTAACAAACGTTGAAGGGAAGGAACCTTTCTCCACAGCTGGTGAAGTGTAGACTGGTGTAGTGTTTATGGAAATCATCATGAATATTCCTTTAAAAACTAGATTTGGAGGTCCTATTTGATCCAGTTATTCCCCCTGGGTATTTTCCCAGAAGAATTAAAAACATCATACCACGATGGTATGTGCATCCATGTTTATAAGTGCACAATTTTTAATAGCCAGATACTAAAAACAACCCAAATGCCCATCATGGAAGAATGCATAAAACATATGTGCTATTTTTATTCAATGGAGTACTACCCAGTCTAAAGAAGGATAAGCTTGACACTTTTGTAGGTAAATGCATGCAACTCAAAACCATGCTTATAAGTGAAATAAAAGATTCACATATGTAAGCATGGCACAGTATCCCTAGTGGGAGAACCTGAAAGAGCAAATCAGACCAAAAATATACAATAGATATTGTGAAATGGGAAAAAACTTTTCAAAATAAAACAGAAACTGTGATGGAGGAAAGGAGAACAGAAGTATAGATGGGAAAACTACAATTAGATAGTTAAGATAGAGTTAAAATGAGAGTTAAGATAGTTATACTACTAATTTCTCTTAGTTAATTGAAAAGAAAGATTTTTGTGATATTTTAGTCAATTAAATTCTCATGTGTTGTACACTGATAACTAAAGATAACAATATGCAATCTGTTAACCATTGTTATTCCCCTATTATCTTGTTTTGAAGTTTTATTTTATTTTTTTACTTTAAAATTAAAAACTATAACAAGAGATGTTAAATTTAAATATGTATGTATATAGATTTTTCCAAACAGATGAAAGAGAAGTTAGGAGTGTAGTGACCCGTGGGAAATTATAGATATTCATAAAATGCAGACACTTTACCACATTTTTCGGTCTAGTCCCTGCATACTTTTCCATCTTTATTTCTTCTGCTGCTGGCCTGTCTTTATAGGATTTTGACTGGTACCATAGCTGCCTTAGATATTTCAATCAGCTAAAACAAATTATCATAGAATCTATGTCTTAAACAACAAATATTTGTTTCTCACATTCTGGAAGTAACGGTGCCTAAGATTAAGTGCTAGCAGATACCTGGAGAGGGTAATGGCTGCCTTGTATCCTCACAAGAGAGAGAAAAGAGAAAGAAATTAAGCTCTGTGTTGCTCCTTCTAATAAGGTCACTAATTCTATCACAAGGGCTCTATTTTCACAGCCAAATTACCTGAGCTCCAGCCTCATTACTTAATTACCCTCCAAAGCTTTCATTTCTAAGCACTATCATACTGGCGATTAGGACCTTAATATATAAATGTGGCACTGGAATACGTCTATGAGCAGAGGAAATATGTGCAATGTGTGATGGTTTTGACTGCTGAGCTTCTTATTTGGGTCTTCGGTGAGACTCAAAATGAATACAGATGTAGTGTGTTATGTCAGTTACTGAGTAAATACTGACAACTCCTAGACCATCTTTTCCTTTTGAACCCGACTTTGCTTCATGTGAAGAAAGAATGCATTTTTTGACAGTCTCAGTAGGTTGCCAAGACTGGTTCCCACTTTGTGATCCTCCAAGATCAACCTCCTTAGTGGCCTGGATTGTAGACATGTGAAACCACACCAGTTTGGCAATAGCATTCTGAGAAACCCAAAGGATCAAAAAAACACTCATTCTTTCTTACTCATTCTCCTTAAATGTGGTGATCATGTACACCAAAAAGAATGATGTAGAAAAACAGTAAAGAGGGAGAAACTCTTAGTTCATTTTCCATGTAGGTTTTCCCTTCTGATTCATTGGTGAAACTAGAGTGTTGGTAGAACGTGTTCATCTCATGAAGTGAAGTAATAACAGTTGAGTTACTTTTGTGCAGCATTTCTACTTTAATAAAAAGAATGAAATGCACATTATTTTATTTTGTTATTTGTTACATGTGAGATCAATGTGCATATGTCTGCATTTCAAAGTGACAGTGCCCAATATGAAGATAATGAGAAGATGCAAACTAGTATTTTAAAATTAAAGATTAAAATATGGAATGATATTTTCAAATAGACTATGGCAAAGCAGAAGAGAAAAAGAGAGAAAAAGGAAATTATGTGCATATTAGGACCTTTAATGACATTTTTTTCCTGTTTTTTGAGCAAGAGACAGCTCCATTGTGTGGTGGGCCCCACAGATCATACAGCTGTCTCTCTATTTCTGTGCTCCTCTTTGGCCACCACATTAATCTTTCTATTTTATAAACTCAGTAATTGTTCTGTATTCCAATCTTTCCACCAAACTCTTTCATTTGTCTACAGGACTCTCTTTCTTGCTCTTCATCTGTGTATGAGTCAATGTACCATTCCTGGCATAGTAACAGACACCCAAAACTTAAAGAAGGATATGTTTAGTTTGGCTTACATTTTAATCATTCTGTTGTCAGCTGATTGATTTCAAAGCAGAAATATCATGGTGGAAACTGTTCAGTTCGTGACATCTGGAGAGCAGAGAAGGAGAATGGTGTTGAAGGGGAGGAGGTAAGAGACTAGATACAGTATTAATGTTACACATTTGTGGCACATCAGACACACCCAAGGTGTACTTCAGCAAACCCCTGGGCAGCTCCTATGCCAATTAAATTGACACTCTCATGCTGACCTTCACATCACACTCTATGTTGACTTGCCATCCAAACACTTCTCCTTAAACTATACTTAACCTCCAAATAAACACAAGGTCATAATTCCACCTAATGTGATACAACTATCTGCATTCCATTAAAACACAATAATCCAATTCCCAAAGTCTCAACAGTTCCAGCATTTTTTAAAGAGCCAAACTCTTTTGAGATATCAAATCACAATCTTAGATGAGACTTTCTATAAAAATTAAAGAATTGTGTAATCCCAGATACAATAACACAGCTTAAACATTCCCCTTCCAATAGGTAGAAATAGAGAAAACTAAGTCTAAAGCGAGACAGTGATCCAAAGGAAAAACATTAAATTTTCTTAACATTATATTTAGTATTCAGGATATAAGACTGTGAGAAATGAGTTGCAGGGGACTTGGGTGCCCTCACACCTATAGACTTGTTGGTGGCACTCACATATCCTCCCTCGTGGGCTGGCTCAGGTCACGGTCTGCAGTTTTCCTTTTGCCAAAATCTCGAATTAAAAATTTGCACCTTTGTACCTTTATGTGTGCAATAAGTGGAGATTTAATGACTCCTAGGGTGCTCTCAAGGCATCATTCTTTTCCTGTACAATCTATTTGATTCCTTTTTAATGGCACGAATCTCTTCAACAGCCACACATCCTTTAGTCTCAACTTTATAGAAATTCTCTGCAGACCATCTTTCATTCCTTCTGGTTTTTACCTGCCCATTTCTCTCATCTTTGGTTTTTATAAATATAATTAAATCTATCCTGTGTTTCTGTTTCCAGAATCACTTATTTCAAATCATCATTTCCCATCTGGATAAATATATTAGCTTTTTAACTGGTCTTTCCTTACTCCCTTTCGTTTATTTCCACATGGTATAACTTTCTAGTAAACTTTTATCTAAAACATATATTTGACTATTTATCACCAAGTCAAACAGCAGAAAGAAGACTATATACATATTTATGTGGGTCAAGGTGTCTCACTGAGGATTTAGTTTAGAGAATTGTAACAAAAGTAGTATTTTGTTGATCTCAGTCTTACTGTCTGTGAAGATTTCTCAGTCCATCTGAGATACTATAACAAAATACCATAGACTCAGTAGTTTATAAACATTTGAAATTTATTTCTTACAGTTCTCAAGGCTGGGAAGCTCATGATCAAGGTGCTGATATACTGGATTTTTGATAAGGATTTGTTTCCTAGTTCATAGATGGAGCCTTCTCTCTGTATATGCACATTGTCGAAAATGTAAAGCATGCCAGTGGGGCCTTTTGAGTAAGGATCCTAACCTCAATTGTGGAGTTCCAACTCCTGTGATCTAATTATCTCCCAGTGATCCCTCTCCTAATATCCCTTTAGAGATTAGTTTGAAACATCTGAATTTTAGGAAACATAAATACTCAGAATATTGTGTCGTGTGAAAAAGACCAAGAAAATGCAATTTTTAGAAGAAAGTGTCAGTTTTTGAAATCTAATAAAAATCACTACATAAATGTATAATTTTTCTTTTTCTTTTAAATGCTAAATTCCACAAAAAGCATGCTAACATAATAAAATGGACTACATTAGACTTTCCATAAAAATAAATATCACTTAAACATATCAAAACTGTACATGACACCAGTTATTTTACCCATAGGTTAAAGAATGAATATAATGATATCCTGCTACAATTTCCTGCTTTGATCAGGGATATTATTCATTAAATAAACTATACATTTTCTGTCATAAGGGATATGTGTTACTTTCTAGTTTAAATGTGCTTCTAGAACACAAGTAATGTATTCTACATCCTTATTACAAAACTCTAATACTACACATGTACATGAGTTAAGTGTGAACCAGTTCTCTTTGATGGGTTCTGCTCATATTGTAAATGTGAATAGAAACTAATGGAATCATGCTAATTTGAAGACATTCTGTTTAGGACACATATTTATGCTTTTATGATTATAGTTTCTCACACAAAGTTATCTATCTATCTATCTATTCTCTCATAAAAATGCCAAGTGAATTCTACAACAAATATTTACAAGTTCATCTTTAATGTACTCTCCTTTTCTAGTTAAAAGTAACCTAATGGTCTATTGGAAAATACAGCCCTCCTTCCTTGCCAACCCTCATTAGTAGATAAGATAGACGCACCCTTGCTTCATTTGATCTGTTTGTTTAATCCGCATTGCTCTCCTCCAGGGCATAACGACTGGTTTCTGAATGAATTTTGAGCCTATCTGAGCCAGCGCAAAAGGAGTCACGTGATTGAAATTTATAAGAAGATGTAAGATTAATATGAATCTGAAAAGTCAATAGATAAGGTATTTCTTTGCCTGGACCTGGTTTTTATAACTTCAAATATAATTAATAAGACAAACATTTAAAAGTATCATTAATCTAAAGCTGCCTGTTTAACATAGCGTTATATGAAAATATTATATTCTGGGTTCTGGGTGTTGGTTGAAGGATTTCTCATTTTTAAATATTTCTAAGTTGGAGTAGCCACCTCTAATTCTTAACACACATGCATATTTTTTGGCAGGGAGCTTGAGCTTCTACTTCAAAGGAAGAAAGATTTCACAGTGAATTTCAGGGTAAAAAGTGATTGGCAGAAATGAGAGCTATTCAAATCTGCATTACCTAATTTGAAAATGATTTAATGAGTCAGGCCCTCTTGTCGTTCACAATTAATGTTAAACACAAGTTGGTACAATTATTAGATAAATATGTCCCAAAGCAACTACATGTTTTATTTATTGCAAAGTTTTGGATTAGGTTTCTTTTCCATAAATGTATCCACAGATTTTAGGGTAATTTTCTCAAGAGTCACACTCTTTTTTCATCATTTTAACCTAGAAAGAAAAAAATATTATACATAAAAAGAGTATAAAGAAAACTCCAGGCTTATAAAAATATGACCAAGTGTTTCTCAGGGAAGATAGAAAAGTCACCTCTTTTACGAGAGTAACCAGAAAGAACTCCTGGGCATGATCACACTGAAGAAGGAGGTCTTGTTGCTTTTGAATTCACGTGAGACAACTCTATTCAATGCCCACCTCACTTTAAAAACTATTTTGACTTAAACTATATGAAATGAAATTTTATTATGTTCTAAATGGTGGAAAGCCAAAGATAGATTTTCTTATTATCAAAGACTATAATACAGTCATGAGAGAGACAACAAAATGGAAGACCACAATATGTGCTTGTAAAAGGACACCTAAGAGATCCTCAAGTATTTACAGAGGAACGAATACCCCAAACTGAAACTAAAACAGAAATTAGTATTCCATGAATTAAGATACATAGACAAATTCAGATAGAGATTAGCATGTGAGCATGCAGGGGAGGATTAGGGAAAGAATAGTGGTTTTCGTGGATATTCAAAGAGTTCTTTGTTTAAACAGGTAAGTTGAAGGCATATGAAGGTATTATGATTAAGACAGATGATATTCTTACCTTCAAAAATTTTACATTACAGTTTGTATTTAAAAATGAATCTGGCATTATGGTTGAAGGAGACAGAAAATAAGGAAATCAGAATAATATTTGCAATAATATTAAGTGTGATTAAATACAACAAAGTAAGAATGATTGAAGTGTGATGTAGAAAGCATCATTCTGTACACATAAGTCAGGAAAAGCTTCTGTGATAAGATGATGTAACAAAAATTGCTATCATACATTTTTTTCCGCTAGGAATTAAACTCAAGAAACATACCCAGCATCTTTTAAAATTTTATTTATTTATTTATTTACTGGTACCAGGGATTGAATTCACGACCTTGGGCTTGCCAAGCAGGCGCTTACACCACTGAGCTAAATCTACAGTCCCTAAAATTTATTTTTAATAATGAGATAAGCTCTTGGTAACTTAATAAACTGCTCAGGCTTCAAACTTGCACTCCTCTTGCTTCAAGTGTTCTCAATCACTGGGATTATAGACATGGACTACAATGCCCACCCACTATTACTCATGTTTTATTTTTCCTTGGTTTGTACAATAATTAAGTTTTAGCAGAGCACACAACCACACAGTGAGATGACATTTTCTAGCCTTGCAGTTGGTGATTAAGCTCTGCTTCATGGGAAATGTGTAGACATGAAGTGTATAACTACCAGTTGCCCAGCTGCTTCCTCTTGTCTTTCCTTCTCTCATAAACATGGTGGTTGGAGATGTAGAGGTTGTACTTCGTTCTCAAGGTGGAAACTGTGTTTTGACTTTGGCAGCGTGACTGAAGATATCCAAGTCTTTGTGATTGTGTCATCAATAATAATCTTATATACCCAATTTCAGATACATATGTAAAAGAAAAAACAAATTTCTAACTTATTTCATGAATTTCTCTGTTAGCATTTGCAATAGTACTTGATTTTAGAGTCAAATATGTAAAGTTGACATTTGAACAATGCCAGAAATAAGCGAGCAGTCATGAGTCTTCATAGACAAAAAGCATTCCTGTTAGGGGTACGGCAAGAACAAAAGACCTTCAAATGGAACACACTTTACTTGGAAAGTTGCAATTACGCAAAAGTCATAGGTGTAAAAGAAGTAGGGTAAACAATAAGAATGTTAATTTCTAAAATCAAGAGATTTACAGGAGTCCAAGTCACTTAAGGACTTGTAGTCTGTGGTAAGGTTTTACATTTTATTCTTAGAGACCAGAGAGACCAGGGGCACAAGAGCCTTTGTGCAATGAGTTCTATGACCTAATCTGTGTTTTCAAAGTTACTCAATTCCAAGATTTAGAATACTCATGGAATCAAGAATATAACTGCTGAGTCTTGTTTAGAATCTATATTAACAATCCCTTGAGTGACAGTGCTGTGAATAAGTTAGGCAGAAGGAGATGGAATTCATTGTAAAGTTCAATGGAGTTGCCAATGGTTTGTAGTAAGAGACAGAGGGAAGTAAAAAATACACTGAAAGAGGCTGACTTCAGATTTTGGAAGCTTAGGCCATTTGTGGAGAAGGAAACTCAAGGAGAAAGCAAGAATTTGGAAATCAAAGACTTAATTTTGGAATTATTGCATTTGCAGTACCAATTAGACAACCAAACTGAACTAAAAGGAAGTGTTTGGGAAAAAGTAAGTCTGGCATTCAAGAAAAAGGCCTAGGACCCTGAGATATATTTGAGGAACATTAGCATATAAATAAGCTTTAAAGGTATGAGGTATATAAATTCACCAAGAGACAGGGTGTACACAGTGAAGAAAATAGTTCTGGGGATACAGAACTGAGGGCCTCTGTGACATTTAGGGCCTGGGGAAGTGGGTAGGATCTAGTAAATGAATCTGAGCAGAAGCAGTCAGATAGGTCTGAGGAGAATCAGGTCAGAATGATGTCCAAGAAGCCAATGGACAGAATAGTTTCAAAAAGTAGCAGTTATCAACGTGCCAAACACTTCATATAGATTAAATAAATTGAGGATTGACATTGGTTATTGATTTTAGCATGTGGAGTTCATCAAAGATGCTGACAAGACCAGTTTGGGTGCAGTGAAAAATGAAAATTTAAATGAAGAGGTTTACAGCAACAGTGGGTAAGACGAGACAAAGCGGCAGGTAAGTTTTGGGGCTCTATTCCTCTGACATTATTCTTGATGGAATTGCTATTGTTTAAATTTGATTTTACCCTAACTAAAAACAATCAGATAGGGAATCTAAAAAATAAATTTTCAAAAAAGAGGAGACAACTGTGTTAGTTCATGAGTTAGACCTGGCCTCAGAACAAAGATTTAATCTATTATGACAGGAGGAAAGACAAATCACATGAACAGACTTGGTGATGGGAGCTCAACTCCCCACTTAGATCAAAATGGTGCAAATCAATGAAGAGATACGTGTTAAAATGCAGCAAAGCTGAGAAATTAGTAGAAATGACAACTTAGAACCAAACATAGATACGAAGTCCTCAAGATTCCACAGAAATGCTTAAAAGCTACTGGGTTCGTTACTCACATCTGACTTGTTTTAATCTCTCTCTCTCTCTCTCTCTCTCTCTCTCTCTCTCTCTTTCTCTCTCTCTTTGTCTCTCTCTGTTTCTCTCTCTCACACATGCAAATACAAACACACAAACTTCTCATTATGTTCAAATGAGCATTGATTAAAAGTCAGATAATCATATCAAGTATTTATTAACTGTAATATCTTGTGGAAAATTGTATTTTTTAAATTTCCTTTTCATTTGAAAAATGGAGCTAAAATTACACTTACATGTAAAATTTGAACACAGATCTATTTGTTAAATCATTTGTAAATTTCTGTCTGATTCCAATAGATATTCCAAATATTCAAAATTGGAATAATTTCTTTTGTTTCTCCATTGAGTTTGGAATTGACACTGTCATAAATTAGGTTAACCAACTCTTCTAATTCCACAATATTTAACCTAGACTCTCCTCCAATCTCTCACTATTTTATGTAAAGTTGATAACAAATCCTGGAAATTATAACCCATAATTATATCATTTTATCTTCAGATTAGATATGTATGAATAATTTTCCTTATATTCCATAATTTAGCTCTTGTATTTTCTAAATTGTGTTCTATTCTAATTTTTCTCCCTCCCTAAGTTTTTGTCTCTATTTTCTTAGATTTACTAATGAACCACTAAACTATTTTGACATTTCTCACTTCATTGTTTTATATATGTTTTCTCAACCCTTTCCATAAAACATCTACTGCACATGTACTCATGTATACTAAATGTCAAACACCTTAAGTTTTGTCAGCGCTGGAGTGTACTGACCTTCAACTTTGGAAATGTGTTTCAGCATCTGGATTTCTGACTTGCCCTGGCTTTTGAATAATGAGTCACAAAACCTTGTGAGTAATTGGATCTTTTGTGCAATTAGAACTTTTTTCTGTATTATAATTTATAGTGTGGTTGAATTGAGGGACGTGTAATGAGTCATTTTACTGAGGCTTTTAAGGAAGTTATTTTTGAAGGTCTGCTTGAAAGGCTAAAATATGTCTGAATTAAAAAGAATGACAGGCTGCAATCAGGACCACAAAATAAAGGTGCTCAGTAAGCAGCCCTATTACAATCAGAAAGTGAAGGAAAGGGATCTCAGTCTTGTATGCAGAGACAGAGGAAATGATGAATACCTTAGGTAACTCATTCTGTGCAAAATCAATCTTTCACTGTCAATTTTAAATGAACTAATTTGTTCACAAATCTGCTCAGTCAGTTTGGAAGCATACTCTGTTCCTTCATATTAGCAAATCCTTTAATCTTGACTAGTCCACAGAGTAAGAAATCTAGAAATGTGTTAATATGATTGGACATATGTAGTAGGATAAGAATTGATTCTTTTAATTAGTGTCTGCTCAAGTTAGAGTCCCTTTCTTGGCTGAACTATTGACCCACTAATATATCAGGAGATTATATTATGACTAACATTTATCCAAAGTTAAATTTAACTCCTTCTTCTTTGACCACTATTACAGTATACTTCCCAGAAACTAAATATGTAAATGATTTTTCAAGGAATATTAGTTTTAGTTGTTGTATGAGAAGTAGTCAATGAATAAGTATCCAAATACTAATTTTTGTAGTATGACATACAACGCATTGTGCATCGATATAACCCTTATTATTTAAGGGACCTAAATTCCTCACTGTTCTCATCTAACTTTTACTTAAATACATTTATACAGGGATATTCCTTTCTAAAATGTATTTTTATTAGCGTGTATTTATTGTACAGAGTAGTGGGGTTCAGTGTGATATTTTCATACATCCACACAGCATACAGTGACCCAATCCAACCACATCTTTCACTACCTATTCGCAGTCCCAGTCCTTTTCAACATTTAGTAATGGTGTTAGGCTGGGTACTTAGCAAACATTGGGCCTGGGTTCAATCCCCAGCAACACCACCTTCTCCACACACACATACACACACAGACACACACACAGATACATATACACACAAAGAGAGAGAGAGAGAGAGAGAGAGAGAGAGAGAGAGAGAGAGAGAGAATAGTATTCTTAAATAAATTACAGTTATCTAATCTCTATTATGAGCTAATTTTGTGGTTGGAGATGTACCTCAGTAGTAAAGTACTTGCCTCTCATACGTAAGGTCCTTCATTTGATCTCCAGCACTCCTCTAACCCCCTACAAGAAGAAAAGGGTAATATAAATATTATCAATGCGATTATTTTACCAGTATTTGAACTATTTTTCATCTAATTAAGTATTTAAAGCATAAATATAGCATTTCATTATTAATTTGAGAGCATCTATGTCCATACAGTTCTCATACAGCCTGTGGAGAAAGGCTGAAGGGCTGAGTGTGTTTTAATTTGTCCAGTGAACATTCATTTGACCTCATTTGTGTGCAGGGTCCTATATTCTGTATTTTGTGGGAATTCAAAAACTATTAGACATAGTATTTGACTTAATGAAAATTACAATTTGAACTTTAATCCCAGAGACTTTTAATAATTTTAATATGAAAATTGAAGGTGCACTTTGCCCAGAGCGATCATCTTTCTCTCCTCCCTGAAAACTGCTCTCCCTGTAGTCTTGCTCATTTTACTTTTGTCAGTTGCTTCCTTCTGGATGCTGTTTGTGATCATCAGTAATTTCTTTCATCCCCTTTCATTGCACAACCAATTTGGTAGGAGTGATCATTGCTTCTGTAAGAAACTTTACCCAGAAGCAAAGTGTTTCACCTCCTTCACAGCTTCCTCATTGGTTACAGGTATTTCCATGTCACTTTTCTCTTGGATATTATAATTACTTCTAGCCTAGTCTCCTTTCTTATATGTTTGCCTCTCCCAGGTTCTACATTTCAGAATAGTCCTGTTAACAGTAAAAGCTAATGATATCCTTCATCTCTTCAAAATTTTGTAACCATCTGTTTCACTCACCAAGTGAGTAAGTCTTTAGTACATGGTCTTTGAAGAACCAACTTTTTCTTATCCTATGGGCTCTTCTGTTCCTTTCTCTCTTTCTCTCTCTCTCTCTTTTTTTTCCTTACATGGGACTCCTAGATATTTTTCACATGCACTGCCCATTCTGCTGTGATAGGGCCAGATTTTATGGTTAAGTGAAAACGGCAACTGTGACACTGCTATAAAGAGTGGTATGAATATAAACATTCATATGGATGACTTCCTTTTATTAAAAATAGGAAAATTATTCACAAATTAACAATGAAGTTTATTTTATGGAGGAACAAGATAAATGGTGGTACAAATAAGGAAACAAATCTATGACTTCACTTTACTACAGAGTGATGTAGCTGTTTGATATGATTGCAATACAAATTAAAGTTTAAAAATTTCCTAAAAGTTAAAAAAAGCAACTGAGGGGCTGGGGATTTAGCTCAGTGGCATAAGCGCCTGCCTTGCAAGCAGGTGGTCGTGAGTTCGATCCCTGGTACGATAAAAAGGAAAAAGACAAAAAAAAAAAAGCAACTGAAACACATTAAACTGACTTTGTTTCAATTAGAGAAATAATCAAAGAGAATAGTATGCTACTTTAAGTGATTTCAAACTACATTACTTTGACTAAATGTTTTTGTTATATTTAAAGAATGAAAACAAAGTAAATATCAAATTTTAAAATTAAAATATTAGTGTTTATCAAAATTTATTATATATAATATAGATAAACTTTTAATACATTAAAGACTTTTTCAACATCATATACAGGATTTTAAAAATGGTTATAAGGGGAAGGAAAAATAGAACCAAAATAAAATATTTTTTCGTAGTAGAATGGCTATAATCAAAAAGATAGGTAATAACAAACACTAACATGGATGTGCAAATGTTCAAAATTTAACTCATTAGTGATATATATATATATATATATATATATATACAGCTACTTTCGAAAAAAAAAATAGCATATATGACAGGTATTTCACCGGAAAAGAGCCCATGAATACTGTAGTGGTGAGGACCCCTGCTTCCTAGTTGAAGTCTCTAAAAATCATTTGCCACTGAAGTGAATCAGCATTCAGTGTTCCTTGGAGAAATGATTGATTTTGAGGCTAAGCCAGGAGACGTCCCGACCAATATTGAACATTTGTTATCTCAGAAACAAGGAAGCCCTAAGGATCATTAAAAAAGCAGATGTAAAAAAAGAGACTATGTGAAAGTCCTCTCATTTGCTTAAAATGTAGTTCATATTTAAAAGGAATAATGATCACTTGACAAAACTCAATATACATAAAATTAATCATAATTCTTCAAAGTAATCTCTACCAAAATCTCAGCTCATAATTTTTTGCAGGTTTGACATGATTCTGATTTCACATGGAAACCTAAAGAACAAAGCAGCCAAATCAAAACTTAAACAAATAAAGACTAAATCAAGTGGATTCATATTTTCAATTTCAAAAATTATCACAAAATTATGATAATAAGGAGAGACTGGTACTAAACATGATGAATATGGGTGAATATAATAGAACTGAGCATAGAAATAAAGATTAACATTTCTGGTCAATTAATTTTTTGACAGGGAGGACAAGACACCTCGGTGGTGAGAAAATATCTTTTCAATAGATGGTGGTGAGACAGATAGAAAACCATTCAGAAAATCAGTCTAAAAAGGTATATGTTTCCACAATTCATAAAGAACTCATACAACAAAAATAAAAATATACATTAGGAAAATTAGCAAAATATTTGAATAGACCTTTTTTGCAAAGAAAGTATACAAAAAAGCACATAAAATGGTGTTCATTATCATTAGACATGGAAAAAAGGTAAATTAAACTCACAATGAAATATTGTCCCAGTAAGGTGGCAAAATTAAAAAAAAAAAACAGATGAAAACTAGCTTTGCCATAAATAGATAGAAATTGGAATTCTAATTTACGGATGCAAGTGGGCAGCCACTTAGGAAAATAGATTAGTAGATATCAAGATGCTAAATACAAATTTACCATGTGACTCAAGAACCCCACAATAGATATGTGTATAAATAAATGAAAATGCATACCCACACAATAACTTGAAAGTGACTATTAATATTGGCATTGTTAATAGTAGCTAACAGCATAAAATGTCCAAATGATTACCTAAAGATAAAGAAAATATAGTGCAACAGATTATTTGTCAATAAAATGGAATGAAGTATTCATAGAGGCTCTGACATATATAATTCTTAATCTGTACTAGGTAAAAAAAAATAGAACATCTTTTGTAAACTTAATTGATGTGAAATTTCCAGAAAGGGCAAATCTCTATAGACTAAACTAGATAAGTCACCTAGGGTGACTAGATCCTCACCTAGGGTGAGGATCATGATAGCAAGAATGAAGAATAATTGTTAAGAGGTACATATTTGTTTCTGGGATTATGAAAGAGTTCCAGAGTTAGGCTATGATAGCGATTGACACAAATCTACTGAATTTAATAGTTAAAAAAGATACCTAAACACAAGGCTTCAACTAATTACTACTGATAGTTGTTGAGATACAAGTTTATCATTGCAGGAATTTGTGAATTGTTATGAATTGTTTTATGAATTGTTAACCTTAAGCAATATTTATTTGTCATTCCACTTGAATGTGATATACATTGGAAATACTTTGAGTCAAGCCTAAAATACTAAAATGTTTTAGGTTATAATTTGATAGCTTTCCTCACAGTGCTCATTATAAAATCAAAGTTTGATAACATTTATTTTGTGCAAAATATAGATTTCTAACATTATAATAATATTTATATTTTCTCCATAGGTTTTATTTTAGAGAAAAAAGGCAAAAAAGAAAAAAAAGGTAGAAATAATACAGAATTTCAGAAAAATAGTAAGAAATCACTAGTTAATAAATTACATATTGTTATCTTATATATCT